ATAGTTTTTGCAAGTTCCTCTAATGACCTATTTTTCCTCTCAACTACACCATTTTGTAGGGAAGTCCTAGGAACAGAAAAATTATGTAATATACCATTTTCCTCACAATAATTCTCAAACTTTCCATTTTGAAACTCACCACCATGGTCACTTCTTAAAACTTTAATTCTTAGGTCTTTCTCATTTTGAATTTGTTTAGCAAACTTTCTAAAGACCTTAAAAGCTTCACTTTTCGTAGGTAAGAAAAATGTCCAAGTGTACATAGAGTAATCATCAACAATTACAAATCCATAATAATTTTCACCAAAGCTTTTTATCCTAGAAGGTCCAAATAAATCTAAATGTAATAATTCTAGGGGTTTTGAAGTGGAAATCACATTCTTTGATTTAAAAGATGATTTTACTTGTTTACCTTTTTGGCATGCATCACACATTCTATCTTTTTCAAAGTTTAACTTAGGCAATCCAATAACTAAGTCTTTTGATATCAATTTATTCAAATGATGCATGTTTATATGAGCCGCTCTTTTATGCCATAACCAAGGATTTTCTTCCTTAGCAACTAAACATGTTATACTAGACTCATGTAAACAATCCAAATCAATCAAATATATATTATTATGCCTAATGCCTTTTAATTTTACTTTTTCGGAATCTATTAAATGTATGGTGCAAAATTTGCTTTCAAAAGTTACCTTGAATCCTTTGTCACACAATTGGCTTATGCTAAGAAGGTTATGCTTTAGTCCATCAACAAGAAGCACATCCTTAATTTCCAATGTGTTTGCACCACCTATGTTTCCAATTCCGAGAATCTTTCCTTTGTTGTTATCCCCATAAGTCACATATCCTTGTTCTTTGGCTTTGAAACTTACAAATTTCGTTTTATCTCCAGTCATATGTTTTGAGCATTCACTATCAAGATACCACATAGACTTCTTTGATTTGGAAGTTTCCTACAAAACAAGAACATAGTAAACTTAGGTCCCCATAACTTTTGGGTCCTTGGGATTAGAGACAAACAAATTTATTTAACAATTGGAACCCAAATATAATTACCTTTAGGAACACCAAAATGTTTAATTTTACACCTATTTGAAGTGTGACCTTGTTTCATACAATAGAAGCATGCATTTTTAGAACAAGATACATTATTAACATGACATGCTCTAGTTCATTTTTCTACCCATACTCTTTTCTTTTTAGTTTTACTCTTTTTCAAAGGAACTCTTTGATTTACATTATTTTGAGCAATTCCCATTGCATGCTTCTTAAGATCATCAATTTCTTTTTCGGCTTTGTCAAGCAAATGATTAAGAATATCTATGTCGTATTCATGCTCTTTACAGTTTGCACATGCTAAGTTTTTATCCTCATCTAAACATACAATTTTCGTATTTGCTACCTCCTTTTCTTCTAAACATTTGATTTTCATTTTTAAGGACTCTACCTCCATTTTGGAACTACTTAAACTCTTTTTCACAGCTTTGTATTTATTGTTCAAGTCCTTAAAAGCACTAAACAATTCATTATATGCATTTTGTAATTCATCAACATCATTTTCATCATCACTTGAGGATGAGTCGGAATCACTAACCTCAAAGTCAGAAGAAATGATGTCATTTGCCAACAAGCAAATGTTAGCTTCTATTTCTGAGTCGCTTGATTCCGAAATTGAGTCACTATCATCTGTTCCTTCATAAGTTACTTTTAGTTTTGCCCACATCTCTTCTTCATCATTTTCGGAGTCTTCTTCTTCTTCTTTCTTATTTTTGTCTTTTGAAATCTCGGTCTTGAAAGCTAGGTTCTTCTTTTGATATTGACCCTATTCCTCATTTAGCCTTCCAAGATCAAGCTCATGCTCCCTTAGCTTTCCAAATAACACCGCCATAGACATAGTGGCAAGATTTTGTGACTCCGAGATGGCCGTCACCTTAGGTTGCCATTTCCTATCCAGAGATTTCAAAATTTTAACATTTAATTCATCAACGTCAAATACTTTACCTAATCCGGTGAGATGATTCACAATATGAGTGAAACGCTTTTGAACATCGAAAATCGTTTCTCCTTGTTGCATCCGGAACATCTCGTATTCTTGGATTAGGGAGTTTTTACGCGCTCTTTTGACGTCGTCAGTTCCTTCGTGGTCATTCCGCTTCTGCTGCACTGTTGAAAAAATGTGGTAAATAATCAAGCTTAGAAAGCATAAAATATGTATAAATATTTCCCAGAATATTTATAACAAACTAAATAGATTCTGGTTATTCTTAGGACTCAAATGCCCACTATTCATGATTTTTAGAAATCCTGATTTGCACGTATGAAAAAACTTCTATTGTACCACATCATCCCAGTGTGTGTATATATGGATGTTTTTGACTTCTGCATAATCGAAGTACTAATCAAGAAAGCTTTTTGTCCAGATCTTGCTCTCTATTATATCCTATCTATATTTCTCTTACTTCCTCTCTAAATTTCATATACACTTTGCTATCATGAATTGATCTAGATCATTTTTGTGGTTCTGTTATTTCATTCACCATTCCTTTCCTTGCTTTTTACCATTTCAGACTGAGGTGTTGCGGAAGCTATCCCTGATACATCGACTTGTTATTTCTACTGGTGGAGGAGCTGTTATAGGCCCATAAATTGGTATAAGAATTAACTCAATACCGAGAAAAGTTTAAACTTCACATTTTTTTTCAATTAAATCTTTTCTCACCTTTACATGGACTTACATGTGAATGGATTTCCAGGAAATATATGCACAAGGGGTGTTTGGTTGGACGTCCCAGTGGAAGCCTTGGCACAGAATTACAGCTGTAGGAACTAATTCTCGCCCTCTTCTACACTACGATGCAGGGGATCCTTATGCATGGGTAATTATTAGTGTTCAATTGTAAGAGTGTTTTATTTTGTCTTTTCTACACACAACATTGTAACTTTAGAGTTAAAGTTAGCAAGCTGACTTAACGTCATCTTACGAATTTGCATCAAACTTAATTTTCCTCCAAATACTTTTTCCTTTTGGAATCCACATGGAGGCATTTATGCAAAAGTATGTCCATTAATCTTTCAACATGTGGAATTATGCAGAATATATGGATTACATGCTTTGTATTTATTGTTTATGCTTCCCGGATGATAACAATTCTATGTAATATCTAATGTTCTGTTTGTGCCAGATATAACAATAAAGCTGGGCAAAAGAGATGTGTTCGAATTTTCTCCAACTGATATTGTAATTGAGGTCTTGAGCAATTTCTAACCCTATTTGGTTGGAGCTCCAGGAAAACTGAGAAATTCCTGGGAGCTAAAGTTGAATCAGTCAAATTCATCACTACAATATGTAATAACATACCATCATACAAATTGTGTTGATCCACACAATATGTCACCGTAAGATGAAATCAGCAATTTCCATCGGTGATAAAATGACAATGGCAAATGGGGGTGCGGTTGGATGGGTGCTCAAGTGCATGTGGCATAAATCAAATTAAGGGACGAGACAAAAACATACTATTTGTGCACGTAAATAATTAGGCCCTGGAACCTCATATCTAAATGACCAACCCTCTTCTTTGTCCTCGCTAAGAACCGCAAGTCATAATTCATGTCTGTTTTATTCCTCGCATATCTTTATTTTTTATGAAATCAAAGTATTCAATTAAAAAGTATCACAATATAATATCTAATATCTAAATTATACGTTAGAAAAGGCTAAAAATGTAAAGAAGTATCAGGTTCAAAACATTCATTCTTTTATCTAATATCTAAATTATACGTTAGAAAGGGCAAAAAATGTAAAGAAGGATCAGATTCAAAACATTCATTCATCTGTCTTGACAAAAGTTAAAAATAAATTGAATGCAAATTTTCTTTTAAAAGACTAGCTCATGATGTTCCCACCAACCTTAAGGGGGCACCCAAGTAAGCATTTAGTTCAGAAATACTCAAAATATATTATGTAGTACGTCTTTAGTTATGTATTTTTTTTACTTTTCAATTTAGTTAGAAAATTATTTAAAATGTAATATTTTTGTTTATATATACCATATTTTAATATTATAAATTTATAATTAAATTTTCTTATTTTATCATTTAATATTGTGTTTTATATGCCATTTAATTTTATATTATACTTTAATTGAAGAATAAAACATACATAATAGATTAATAAAAGTGAAATATATATTATAATATCATTATTTATATAGATAATTGTTATAATTATAATCAAGATTAAAGTTTACATAAGTCTATTTCAATTGTAAAAAAATTCCTCAATTGAATATCTTTAAACAATATGCACATCTTTACTTCTAGGTGAGAATAAGGATGTAATTACATTGGCTTTAAAAGAACTTGAACCATTCCTAAACATTTTAAAATTTCAACCTTTACCTTTAAAATAATCAATATAAAAAAAATATTAAAAAACATTAGGGTTCACATTGGAGAAGTATGTAACACTATAAGATATCACCCACAACTTGGTCTTCCAATTTCCAATTGATAAAAAGTCCATTACTAGTTATAGTAAGAGTGATTTGATAAGTTTTTATGAATTTTTGTTATTGAGTGACCAAAGAAAATTTTATTAAACCTTACAGTTTAACAATTCTTCCTGATGCAAGGATAATATTATTGCTCAACACATATCTTATACATTATAAATTATTTTATACATTATAAAGAGTTTATTGATGTCAAATTAGAGTTTACTTAATTATTGTGGGTATTTTAATCCTTTGCTTTAATCCTAGGATATCTTTATGTGTGTTTTAATCCCAGCATATCTTTATTTTTCGATGAAATCAAAGTATTCAATTAAAAAGCATAACAATATAATATCTAAATTATACAAACGTTAGAAAGGGCCAAAAATGTAAAAAGAAGTATCGGATTCATAAAATTATTTGTCTTGAGAAAAGTAAACTGAATGCAGATTATTAGGACCAACGAAAAAAGAGTAACATCATAGAAGCCTATCCTTTCTTCTAGAAGACTAGCTCATGAGGCTTCATACCAGCCTTTAGAAAAAACCTGGCACCCAGGTAAGTATTTAAGTCTGGAATACTCTCAATGGATTTTATCAACGCCGAGTCGACATTCTTTTGGTCATCTATTTTCTCCTGGGGCAAGGCACGTTTTTTCTGTTTTATGGTAAAAAATAAAACCATTAACACACAGAAACAAGTTGTATTGCATAATAAGAAAATTAACATATCCCACCTTCTCTGCCTCAATGAAAAACTCGTCCTCTCCCTTGTTTTTCTTTTTCTGGGACTCTTTTGAAAAGTATTTATCATCAAATTTGTCCACATTAACAGCAGAAACATCTACTTTGGTTGTAGTGGCAATAACATAGGACTGGTTGACACGTCTCAATGGAACTCCATTAATCTTAAAAGGACCTAAATAGCAAATGAAAAACATGTATTCAAATTTCAGTTAAATTGATACCAAAAAGTTTAAGTATAGACTCACCGGTAACAAGAAGCAATCCAGAAAAAAGCTGCTTCAAAAACACTATCCTCTTTCCTTTGAATCTACCCGCCAAAAGAATCAACACTGTACCGGGAGTAAGGCTAGCCCTGAAACAATCCCAATACAAGGTGTAACGCTAGGGCTGAAACAATCCAATACAAATCACAATCCCAATACAAATCACAATGTGTAACGCTAGCTTTGTGTAACGCTAGCGTTGAATCCTCAAGAAGGTGATCTTTTTTATTAGACAAGAATGGGATCTTTTGTTCCGAAACCTCCGCAATTTATGTCAACAATAAAACCAATGAAACATAAAACACCACCATACATAACAAATCAAACCATCAATAAAAACATTTAAGAAACATAAACCACCACCATATATAACAAATCAAACCATCAATAACACACAATGAGGAAGAAAGCACCTGAGTGTAGCGGGCTTCCTGACATCGCGCTTTTGAGCAGGGGCCTCGGGCTTAGGCTTAGGGTCGTCACGAGGGAAAACCCCACCGTTTTTCGCCTTAATGGCCCAGATGCCTCTCTTGTGGTACATCTGCGACCTGGAGTACTTCCCTATACCCCTAACCAGTTCAGGGTTCCTCGTCCCGGTTCTAGGCTTCTTCGGCGCCATTGCTTCGCTTCTCTTCACCTTCTGCTTTTTCTGGGTGCTGAGGCTGCTGATACAAAACCCGAACACAGGATTATATATACGTCTGAAACGCACCGTTTCCGTCTTAATGGGCTGGGCTTTTCTTTCAGGTGCACCATTTCTGTCTTAATGGGTTAGTCTCTCTAAACCTATAATAATATTTTAAAATTCGTGTAATTTATGATATAATTTAAGTTATATATTTTTTATTTTTAAAATTTATTTAGTATTTTTAGAAATATGGAAATAAATTTTATCCAAAAAACTGAAATAAAAAATATAAAAAATATTTTTTCTTAAAATACTTAATAATATATTTAACATAATTATATTAGAATAAAAAAATTATTTCTTGTTGAATAAAAAATATTTAGAACTACTATACCTATTAAAATACTATTATTTATATTTATACTCTGTAAATATTTATATAAAATTATTAATGTAACAGTCTTAAAATTTAAGATTCTATAAATAATTTATATCATAAAATTTAAATACAATAACACTCATAACCTACAATGAAATCAAAATTAAAAAAAAATAGATAAATATTTTTCATCCTCCTTAATATTCATGTAAAAGATTACATCTATCATTTTTCAACATAACTAATATCATTACTCAAAATATCTTAACACTATCATATTTAGAGACGTAAAACTGTATTTTAAATTAAAATCATATTAATGATATTCATTTTATTATAATTTTTTTTAAATATAATTATTAATTTAGAAAAAAAAATCATGTCTGACCATGTCCAAACCTATAAAAACATCTGAAATAAGGAGATGAGTTTTTAAAATTAGATAGTTTTAACCAATTTAAACCTTATCTCATAGTAATATTAATATTCCGCCAAATTGCATTGATGTGGATCTCTCTGTTGAGACTAGAAGCATAGTAGGCATGATGCTTAGTTAGAACAGCTAGCGTGCATGGCATCACGTATACTAGTTGCTTGTTTTAAAAATTTTACACTCTCAATTTTAATTATTTTAAAATTATATTATATATCATGTATATCAAATTACCAATGCTTGTAATTGTAAATGTTACGAAAACATATACGAGAAAATGTACAATTTCAAAATAACATTAAAATGAGTGTAATTTATATATATATATATATATATATATATATATATATATATATATATATATATTTTGTCTGTTTTCATCAAATCAAATAAATTAATATAATATTAAAATAGGCAACCCATTCTGATCTATATTTTAAAATTTTAAAATGGGATAAAAAAATTTGTTTAATATGACTTTATATTAAACCATCATACTAATGAACCATTTTTTACCTTATTAGAAATATTTTTTTATTTATATAATTATTTTTAAATTTTGTTTTTTACCTATTAGAAATATCTTTTTTATTAATATAATTATTTTAAATTTTGTTTGAAAATAAAATGTCATTATTTTAAATTAACTCATAACTTAATCAAGAAAATATAATGAAAATATCTTATCGAAATATTAAATAATACATCTTTTACCTTTTTCTTTTAAGTTAAATACATATTATAAAACTATGTAATAGGAGTGTTTATAATAATTTGTTTAAAATATTAAATAACACATTTTTTAGTTTTTTTCTTTTTTATTAAATACATATTATGAAACTATGTAATTGAAGTGTTTATAGTAATTGATTTAAAATCAGTATTCAAAACTTTATTTACCTCTCAAACTCTCTCATATTCAACATAGCTAAATTGAAAATCATGTTTAATAATACATCTAACAAGTAACTAAATTTTAGAGTCAAATTTTCATTATTTCATCAAGCTAATCTTATTATCCAAAGTAACTCTCAATACTTTGAAAATACACTACATTTTAAAATATGTTGTCTAAAATGATTGATCCTTAATACGGTAGTAATAAAGGACAGAAGATAACCAAAACAAATAAAGATTACGTTTATACTTTCTAAATTATATATATATAATATTAACAAATTAATTTATTATACATATATTTTCTAATAAAATAATTTATTATTATTTTATAAAACAAACCAAGTACATAAGCTTATAAACTAACCTAATCTAAGCCCATTTAAGTTTGACCTAAATAAGTCTGAACAAATTTTGTTTGATTCTATTTAGACTATTAATTTTTTTGTCTAATCTAACCTATTTTTCGAATTTTTTGATATGTCTCATCGAACTAAACCTATTTTTAACAACTCTAAACATTACTCATATTATACTTTCTTTTCCTCAAAGAATTATCTTTTAGAAAAACACACAAAAATATATCATAATTTTGAGTCCTCCTTTTTTAACCAAATTTTTTTTTATATATAAATTATTCTCTCAATGAATTATGCAAATTTTTACCAAAAAAACAAAAAATATTGTGGTTTTTTATTATATATGATTTATTATTCAATTTATAATTGAAAAACATACAACTTTAGTCCCTTCAATTTTTTAACCATGATTTTGACTTCTTCTTTTTTTTCACAATTTTAGTTTGCAAATTTTAAAAATGTATAAGTCTTCAAAAAATTTCATACATTTATTCGTTAATCCATTTATCAAGATTCAAAAACTACTCACGGATATCCCAATTTTTGTAGGACTAAATATATAAAAGAAAAAATGTCTTAAAATTTCTGTATTAGAAATACAACCAACACAGGATTAGTTGCAGTAGACCAAACAACATTATTTGGTTTAAAGTCATTTATTTCTTATAAATCTGAAATGCGTTAGTTGCATTTTAATGTGAAGTTGGATCGGCAAACCAAAGTCAACTAGTCCATAAGTTCACTGTTCACTAACGTATATAGAAAGATACCGTTTTAAAGGAAGAAAGATAATATTAAATTCGATAACTTACCATAAGTTGCCTTTGTGGACCCCTTAAAACCGAAATCGAACTATTAATCATCATTAATATAATAACATATTATTGTTTAAGATAATAATGTGAAGATATTATGTTCAAGTTTACCAATGGCCCAATTATAAAAGAAAATATATACACCAATCACTTTTGCCTTTTAAAATTAAAATGTTGAAACTTCTCAATCACTTTGATGAGAAATATTACATACACTAAAAAAAAAAAGTGGAAGGGACAAATCAAATTACCAGTTCTTAATCCTATAAAATTTCAACACCCGCCTAGTTGAGCATCATTTGGCAACTCTTGCAATGCTTTCAACCAGAAGCAGATGCAACTCTCTGTTTATCAAAATCCCCTTGCTCTTCCTTGACAAACTCTTCAATCAATTCACGCTGTCTTTTTGTCAGGTTGCTGTAGAACATCACACAAAAAGAGGTCAATTATATTATAAACATCTATCAGACCATCGCGACGAAAATTCGTTACCTAAACAACCTGATCCTACACTATTTTTATTTGTGGGGTGAGCAAGAGGAGTTGATTCCCATTTAAAGCCTCCAAATCAAGTTTTGGACAAAAGTGACGCGACTAACTTTTGGAAATTCAAGCATGCACGTTACTTCATAAACCACATTCAACATTAAATGTAACACTCACTTTTGAATGCTGACGTTAAATGAACATATTGATCCCCAAATGTGTAAGAATTTTTTGTCTTATCCCTGTTAAGAGAACAAACAAGTTAATAAAGATGAAAAGATCACCTCAATTTGAACACTTTCAAAATCCATTGAACACGTTCATGGAATTTCAAATATATTTTCACATAACGCTGTCTAACAAAATGTTCTCACGTTATCCATAGGTACTTTTTCTTTCTCGGAACCACCTTTTGAATAAGTTGGGTACCAAGACGAACTTGCAAAATAATGGCGGATCTTGACCATTAATCTTAGAAGAGCCAAATAATATATTATTAATAAATAATAAATAAATATAAAAGAAAGAAAGAAGATGAAAGAGTGAAAGGATAAAATTGTAGATATATACTTAAATATATTAAATGATTATTAAGTTTGAAGGAGACAAAATCATAAATGATATGAGAGTTACCAAACTAAAGAGGGATTAAGAGGATAAAAATTGTAAAAATACAAGTAAATATATTAAATGTTCATTAAATTTGGGGGATCAAAATCATAAATTACATGGGAGTTACAAAACTTTGGGGGGCCATGACCCCCCTCAGCTCTCAAGAAGATCCGTCACTGCAGCCAAACATGACCCATATAATCAAACATCATTGGTTACTAAACTGAAATGTTTTGAGAAATTGTATGCAATAACTACACAAACCTTAAGAACAACATCTTCGATAAGAGTTGGGACTTGAATGGTTCCACCCAAAATTGTCTGAAAAAACAAAATAGTATTTAAATTATTTTCAAGTAATATATAGTACTCCCCATAATTCAACACAAACCACTAGTAAGAATTGAAAAACATAGAAATCATTTTATAATTTTTATTCATATTATTTTTGTACACAGATACTATGATCCTATAGTATTTTACTCCAACAAATCATGACTAAATAAAGGAAGTTCTGATTATACAATATTGTGTACCGTTATACAAACCTATAATTTAACTAATCAAATATCTTTATCCCAACACTCCCCCTCAAGTTGGTAAATGGATGTCATACATTCTCAACTTGTCCAATAATATCCTAAAAATATGACTTGTCATAGCTTTGGTAAGAATGTCTGCCAGTTGATCTTCAGATCAAATATTTGGCAATTCCAAAATATTTTTATCAAGTTTTTCCTTGATGAAAAATCTATCAACCTCCACATACTTCATCCGATCATGTTGGACATGGTTGTGAGCAATGTCGTGCGCAACTTTATTATCACAATACAACTGAATGGGACGTGTATGTGCATACCCTAAATCCTAGAGAAGTGGTCTGAGCCACAAACCTTCACAAAGTCCAAGAACCATTCCTCTAACACTACTAGAAAAATGTCAAATAGTAGCAGAAATCAGTGATCGAAATATTTAGTTACTATCGAGTGACCGAATCAGTAACCAAATTT